GGACCCCCTGTCCCGCTCCTTTTAGAGGAGCGGGACAGGGTGACGGTTGATTTTTGCACCAGAAAACGCACTAGAAACGTCTGCTTCTTGTTCTAATATTTGTGGTAGGCTCCCCTTGCCGCTCACTGTGTGGATGAGGGGTTTGTGCCGTGTGATTTAAAGACATCATCAGTGAGCACATGTGTGCAGAGAAACTGGAGCTTTGTACCAAACAGTCGAGGAATAAGCAGTGTGACTCCGCCTGAGACAGTTTGTGTGAGCCGCCGCCGCCGCCGCTGAGAACATGGCATCTGTTTGTCTCTCATTATCTCATGAATTCACACACGAGCTGCTGATTCAGGGTCTGTGAGCTCACTGAGGCGACGCTCCTCAGCTGATGAATCCTCCGTCAGTGGAGAAAAACCAGACGACTGCACATTTGGATGAGAGTCTGTACTATTGGTTCAGGTTGTGTAAAGCAGAGGCTTGATGCACATTTTTAAAGCTAATTATTCAGTGTGTTGGAATGGGTTTCTTTGCACATTAGTTGAACTTCTGAGGCTACACAGGTGTATCATACCTGATCAGACATGCTGAGGGTAAAGATGATGAGCTTCACCGTTCTACTCCACCTCAAGCTTTGATTCATAAAGCATACAGCTCTAATGATATTCAGGAGCAAACTTGTCCTGCTCCGTGCAGTTTGCTCTTGTCTTTTGTGTGACTGTGGAGAGAAGCTATCTGCACCTTTTCTCTGCACTGAGCTGCACTCTCATGCTGACGGAGTTCAGTTCTGTCCACATAACGATGATGGGCTGAGAGGGGAAGTGAAGCTTCTTCAACTTCATTCTAAATGTTAAATGGACTTGAGCTTGTATATTTCTTTTCTCGTCTTCTGACTACTCAAAGCTCTTTTACACCGCAGGTCACACCTACACATTCACATACTGATGGCAGAGTCTGCTGTGTAAAGTGACCATCACTATTAGCTTATCCCATTCATACACTTTTATACATCGCCGCCGAAGCAGCAGGAGCAACCTGGGGTTACAATTGACTCTACCAGTAAGCCACAGCCGCCCGGTTGTGAGGCCTGCCTCTAAAAATGTTTCACTGTTTGAAGTGTTGAGCCGCTGACAGCCCAGGCTGATTTAACCCCTGTTAGTTATAGACTGTTAGACTGATCTGTAAATTAAGCCATTAATTGGAGGAATGGTTGGCCTGATCAATACACGGTTTGAGCGCGACATCTCTTACAAACACTGCGGCGCTGTTACCACCAACTCTCAGTGGCTGGTCATTTTTGCACTCTGCGTGTTAACAGGTTACTCTAACTGCGAGTTGATGTTAGCGCTGTAATTCGTTGATAAGACGTAAAATCTTTTTCCGAAATGACTTTAAAATTGCTCTTTTAAAATTACACGCAAACACCACCAAGTTGCTATTTGCTCTGCGGCGCAGTTACAGGAGCATTTCACCATTTGTGAGAGTTTGGCACCGGGGGCCTTTTGGACTCATTTTTAGCACATGTGCAGCCGGGGCAAAAGATGCACATCGGTGTGGACATGAAATCCAAATCCAGTGTATCTGAAACATAAACTCTGTCTTCTGTCTGTGTGTTTGAGTCTGAAGCATCCTCCTCGTATTCTGTGAGGGTTTAAATACGAACAATGTGTTGAAGTGGAGCTTGGAGGAGCTTGCACTGAGCAGAGCCTCTCATCACAAAGGCATTTCCTCCCCGGCCCCTCCTCGGCCTTAAACTCAGGCTTTAATATGGAGCCTGTCTGTGGTCATCAGGAGGCTTTTATTGCAGCGGGGTGAACATTGTTGTGACTCTGACCTTGTACAGTGGCAGCTTTTATAGCCTGAGGTTCATTAATGTTCCTCCTCTGCAGTCTGTCCCTCTACTGCGTGATAATGTACGAGAAGTAAAACAAAATAAAACTGAGTCAGCAGGAGGCAGGAGGCCGGGTCGCTCCGAGGACACAAACTGTGATCCAAACATCATCAAACAAAACCGTTCCCTCTCTTCCTTCAGATTCAGCAAATACAGCTGAGGTTTTAATGATTTCTAATGCTGGTAAATTTTTGAGTAAAAGACTTGAAGCTGCGGTCAGAAATGTTGGAGAAAGAGGCAAAGAGAAAGCATAGTCATGTGTTTTGCAGTTGTTTCATCCGCTCGTCTGATTTCTTTTCAAAGTCAGTATTTAATGCATCAAAACTAAAAGATCTATTTGTGACCACGGCCTGTAGTGAGGGATCCAAACCTCCAACCCTTCAGTCTGTTTTCTCAGATGAAGGTGAGCATCCTCTCTGCACAATCAGCTGATCAGAGTCACTTTGTGTTTTGTGAATCTGTACTATAAAAAAACATTTGGCTTCATCTCCTCCTGGGATCCCCCTCACGACAAAAATACACACACACACACGCAATCACACAGACAGGAAGTGAACCGCCGTGTAAAAGGATCAGGATGGATGACAGCTTCATACAGCGCTTCCTCTGCAGGGATACTGAATG